GTTCGGCTGCGAGGAAGGTTACTTGTAGAATATTCTAATGTAGGAAGGTTATTTGGTCTTCAACTTAACACAACCAGCCGCCTTCCTATACATGATGTAATAATGACATAATTATTTCATCCTGCTTTATCAATTTTAAAGAATATTCCCTCTTACACGTCAATATGGTCAATCAGACCATGACGTTAAAACCAATGATCGACTTTAATCACATTTTTTAAAGTCGATTCACCCTCCCGCTAGTCAAGAAAATTATTTACCCACAATAATCATTTCCAGACCGTATAATATAATGAGTGTTGCAGGAATCTCCATCTTGAAAAGAATATCCAAAGGACGTCTGGATTCGCTGATTGTTTGCTTGGTGTGTTTGGAACAGCAAACAACATATTTTCTGTACAAACTACCCACGCACCCACCCACACATTCTCCTTTTTTCTTTTCCGTAATTTTATTTTGTATTTTTAATCAGTATTATTATTATTATTATTATTATTATTTATTCGGCAAAGAAAAACATTACATATCAGTGTACACAATACAAAATAAGACATAATTATCAACCATTGGAACGCCAGGGACAGAAAAAGTTAACTAAATTACTGTGGAACTTCCCTTACATGCAGGTATTAGAACAATACAAATAATTATTCGAAATATAATTCTATTTCATCATAATAACATAGTTCTATTAATTTAATACGTGTACAATTCACAAATTACGATCGATTGTTGTGTGTGGAATAAAATGAGTTATAATATGAAACAAATTATAACCCCCTCCCTTACAACCCAACCCCAAACAAAGCACCACCTCACACATCCAACATAACACACACACACACACACACATAATTGTTGAATAAAACTCCTCTTCATCACACACCAGCAATGCGTTCCCCTTTTTTCTTTTCCGTAATTTTATTTTGTATTTTTAATCAGTATTATTATTATTATTATTATTATTATTATTTATTCGGCAAAGAAAAAACATTACATATCAGTGTACACAATACAAAATAAGACATAATTATCAACCATTGGAACGCCAGGGACAGAAAAAGTTAGCTAAATTACTGTGGAACTTCCCTTACATGCAGGTATTAGAACAATACAAATAATTATTCGAAATATAATTCTATTTCATCATAATAACATAGTTCTATTAATTTAATACGTGTACAATTCACAAATTACGATCGATTGTTGTGTGTGGAATAAAATGAGTTATAATATGAAACAAATTATAACCCCCTCCCTTACAACCCAACCCCAAACAAAGCACCACCTCACACATCCAACATAACACACACACACACACCAGCAATGCGTTCCCCTTCACGAACACACAGCCACCTTGGCTAGAAACAAAAATGACAAAGAAGAGACAAAGTAAGTCTTACATTGCGCTTTGATACTTTTGTTTCTGCTCTATTCAAATTTCATGAATGTTTTCTCAAATATTGTGGGGCAATTATTGTTGGGTTTAAGTTCCTAATTTTAGTATAAATTCCCTGAGATCTAGGTACTAATCAATAAACACATTTTTACAAATCATAATAAAACGAAACTCTTTTGTAAAAATTCAAAACATAATCAAATAGTAACTGGGAAACCAAATGCTGGCCTTTTTTACCCCCCCCCCCCAATAACATGATTACATTTGTAACAGAAGATTTGCAGTTGTCTAGATTCGCCAGAGTAGTAGATTTAAGTGATTGAATTTTGGGAAAAGTACTCAGATGCATATTGATAAATATTGAATCCCCCCCACCCCATCGTCATTTGAAGTAGTTTATTCTCTGTCTGGTAACAGACTAAGGTTTCCACTTGTTGTTCAGAATGCCCAGGCCACTTTATCACACGATACTATTTGCGTCACAATGCCCATCAGGACCGACTCACTGAGCAAGAGATATGTATTCTTTTGTTTGGTTTATTAGCTCTAGTTATTTGTATTTGCCTCTGGTTTCGCTTTTTGGAGCACATGATCTAACTGACTCAGTGCTTTAGGTAACTGCTCAATGCCACGTCACCAGACGTTGAATTACAGACTCACACAGCCTATGTCTTTCATTTCATACCGGTTATCCATAACTTCTACATGGAAATCTGATGGAACGAAGCACATTTCTGCAAATAGAATCTACATTAGTTTGATTTCTAGATCATTTACTTCGACACACTACATATTTTGGCATCTGTCACACCGGATTCATGACCCAGAGACAAACTCTCATCTTTATCTTGCGAAAGAGACATTATAAACACCCGTAACGTTCTAGAAGAGACCTCTCATGTCACTTGTTGTCAGTTACTTTTATTTAAACTGTGTAAGCTTACGTGTGAGTCCTTTTAAGTTGGCTATATTTGGAAAAATATTTCTGAGGAAAGGACTCGACGCCTCATTCCACGATTCATTTCGCATTTAGCCGGATCTAGGCGGGGATCTAGGCAAACAGTGAGTACAATTAATATATAATTTGACTAGTTACCTCTAAATTTGGTTGATCCGAGCAATAGCCACTATATAAGCTCGTCGGAATAGAGTTACATACAATCTATGTATATATTACAGAAACGCTTATCCTGATTATATATCATAAACCGTGTCCGGACCCCTACCCCCTGGACATCCACCCCCGGATAACCACCTCCAGTCAACTACCCTCTAGGACAACTATCCCCTAGGACAACTACCCCCTAGGGCAACCACCTTCTATGACGACTACCCCGGACAACTACCACCCGGACAACTACCCCTATGACAACTACCCCCGGACATCTACCCCCGGACAACTACCCCCAGACAACTACCCCCTAGGATAGTTGTCCAAGGGGTAGGTATCCTAGAGGATGGTTGTCGTAGGGGGGGTAGTTGCTTGGGTAGTCGTCCTAGAGGGTGGTTGCCCTACGAGGTAGTTGTTCTAGGGGGTAGTTGTCTGGGGGTAGTTGTCCAGGGGTAGTTGTCCCGGGGGGTAATCGTCCTAGATGGTGGTTGCCCTAGGGGGTAGTATTCGTAGGGGAAGATTTGCTGTTGTTGTTGTTAATGGTCATGTTGATGGTAATGGTGATGATTCGTGATCTCATGTCCTTAGAGAAATTTTCAACATTCGGGCAATGTTAGGCGATTTGCATACACCTTTTGAGTCCAATGTACCATGATGATGCATGATAGGTGTATTCCCAGCTTCTGAGGGGAGTATGATTCGTTTCTGAGGTTTATCTTGTAATTTAATGTCATGTATAAGGTATTAAAGGTCAAATACAGATCGGAATAGTTATCATGGAAAAGTGATAATGAATACTGTTATATCTGATTGATTGATTGATTGATCCATTTTATTTCAAATTCAGTATTAACAAAAAACAGGTTGTTAACATTTACAATGTACATAATTATAAAAATCGACCTAAATATGTGAAACAAAGTAATTACATTTAAATGCAAATTGTGTTGGAAAATGAAATAGGATGTATCTGTAAAAGCCTATGTGGCTTGACAAGTTGATACATCCATTACAAAAAATAAAAGATATTCTATCGATTTCAGGCAGTTGACGGTTACATACTAAATTGCAGTTAACTTAAACATACTCGGACAGTAAATGGCGCTTGTAATTATTTTAAAAGGAATTTCCAAATTTGCGTATCAAGGGGGATCATGAATTCATTATAATGGGACCAACGAACTGAATAAACTAAAAAGAGAGTGAGATGTGACCTTTGATTGATGGAAAAACTGGTTGCTAGAAATATATATCTTTATTTGTTCAAAAGTTTATATATTATGTGTTCCATATACACGGTGGTCTCTTCAGTACATCAAAACTCCTTTGCAAGAGAGCCCCGTACTACATACTACAATTACAGTAAAACCTGCTTTAGTGAATACCTGTGTACAAATACCACCTGTCTATTAAACAATACAAGGCAACCTACCAGTGCACTATGCCAAGGGTGAAATCATTCGCCAGATAATATTATCAAGGTAGGGAAGGATAACAAAAACATGGGCATTTGGAAGAAATGTAGAAGTGGTGTCATAGTCGAGTGGTCTACGTCGTAATTGGTAATTAAAAGTGTTTTATAAAATATAGAAAACAAAACAAAACAAGATCAAAATATAGATTAGAATTGGAAACTAGTTGTGGACTTTTGATCACATCTAAAATAAACAATTCTACATTGTACATTTATTGAAAGCAATACAACACCACACATATGATTAAAGTGAAAGATCGGACTCTTGGATTGTTCCCAAGAGACTCAAATAAGTGACATGTTTAGAGATGATTGGCAGCCTGACAAAGACCATTGACTTGAAAATTCAAATCCGAAATTGACTCTGCCCAAAATCGCTTTAAATTATATAAGTATTGACCCCTAAAAACCGTAAGCTGCCGTCACTTTCTCATACCAATTCCGTTTTGTTTCAAACTTCTACAGTATTTAATCTTATCAATGCACATAACCTAGCTAAATTTAACGCTCCTATAATAACGTATGATATAAATAGCGCCCTCTAAAGTTCTAAAAATCTTCCAGTGGCTCAGATCAATCGTGCCTGGCCAAAGCCGTACCCTTTTTGGACTGAGATACTTTAAGATATGCCCTTCCATCCAATTAAAAAAATATGTACCTCACCACTGACCGCCGGAATTTGCAAAAATTTTAACATGTTCCTTTTTTTCTAGTTGTTTTGGTGATACACTGACGTCATCTTCTAGCTTTCACTAGGTATGGGGCAGAAGAATGAGAAGATACAGCATGTAGGACAAAATTAAAACAGCCCTAACAAAAGATTTTGATGAATTCATGAACTTGTAGCCAGGAAAGAAACCCTTAGCTTTCACTAGGAATGTGGAAGAAATTTTTCAAAAAGAGGGTCAGTCGTAAAGGCAACGCCAAAAATCTGACCCACAGAGACAGTAAGGAGGGAAATGAACTAGATGGCAGTGTTGAAGATTTGCAGAGTGCACTAAGCAGTGCTGCGCAGAATGGACAACTTGACCTCATCCAAGAAACTGATCTGTAGAGGAACCAAGATGAATAAAGTTGATAATGACGGTAGGACTGCGTTACAGCTAGCTTCAGATGGGCGACATGATGTCACTAAATATCTCAGCAGTCAAGGAGCCGAGGTGAATAACGGCGGAAATCTTAGTTTGACCCCGTTACGTGTAAGTCGTAAAGGCAACGCCAAATGTCTGATCCACAAAGACAGTAAGGAGGAAAATGAACAAGATGGCCGTGTTGATAATTTGCAGAGTGCACTAAGCAGTGCTGCGCAGAATGGACAACTTGACCTCATCCAAGAACTGATCGGTAGAGGAGTCGAGGTTAATAACGGCGGGGAAAAGGGTTTGATACCATTGCATATAGCTGCAAAGAATGGTAATCTTGATGTTACCAAATTTCTGATCAGTCAAGGAGCTGAGATGAATAAAGTCGATAATGACGGTTGGACTGCGTTACATCTAGCTTCAGATGGTCATCTTGATGTCACTAAATATCTCATCAGTCAAGGAGTCGAGGTGAATAACGGCGGAAATAATAATGTGACCCCATTACATATAGCTGCAGGGACTGGTCATCTCGATGTCACCAAATTTCGGATCAGTCAAGGAGCTGAGGTTAATCATGGCGGAATGGAGGGTTCGACCCCATTACATCGAGCTGCGCAATTTGGTCATCTTGATGTCACCAAATATCTCATCAGTCAAGGAGCTGAAGTGAATAAAGATGATAATGATGGTTCGACCCCATTACATACAGCTGCTTTTAATGGTCATCTTAATGTCACCAAATTTCTGATTAGTAGAGGAGCTGAGGTTAATGACGGCAGAAATGAGGGTTCGACCCCATTACAACTAGCTGCAGACAATGGTCATCTTGATGTCACCAAATATCTGATCAGTCAAAGAGCTGAAGTGAATAAAGATGATAATGATGGTTTGACCCCATTACAACTAGCTGCACAGAATGGTCATTTTGATGTCACCAAATATCTGATCAGTCAAAGAGCTGAAGTGAATAAAGATGATAAGGACGGTTGGACCCCATTACTTTCAGCTGCATCTAATGGTCATCTTGATGTCACCAAATGTCTGATAAGTCAAGGAGCTGAAGTGAATAAGGATGATAATGATGGTAGGACCCCATTACGACTAGCTGCATTTAATGGTCATCTTGATGTCACCAACTACATGATCAGTCAAGGAGCTGAAGTGAATAAAGATGATAATGATGGTTCGACCCCATTACATACAGCTGCTTTTAATGGTCATCTTGATGTCACCAAATATCTGATCAGTCAATGTGCTGAAGTGAATAAAGATGATAAGGAGGGTTGGACCCCATTACAACTAGCTGCAGAGAATGGTCATCTTGATGTCACCAAATGTCTGATAAGTCAAGGAGCTGAAGTGAATAAGGATGATAATGATGGTAGGACCCCATTACAACTAGCTGCACGGAGTGGTCATCTTGATGTCACCAAATATCTGATCAGTCAATGTGCTGGAGTGAATAAAGATGATAAGGAGGGTTGGACCCCATTACTTTCAGCTGCATCCAATGGTCATCTTGATGTCACCAAATATCTGATCAGTCAAAGAGCTGAAGTGAATAAAGATGATAATGATGGTTTGACCCCATTACAACTAGCTGCACAGAATGGTCATCTTGATGTCACCAAATATCTGATCAGTCAAAGAGCTGAAGTGAATAAAGATGATAAGGACGGTTGGACCCCATTACTTTCAGCTGCATCTAATGGTCATCTTGATGTCACCAAATATTTGATCAGTCAAAGAGCTGAAGTGAATAAAGATGATAATGAGGGTTCGACTGCATTACATTCAGCTGCTGGTAAAGGACATTTTGATGTCACCAAATATCTGATCAGTCAAGGAGCTGAAGTGAATAAAGTTGATAATGATGGTTCGACTCCATTACATTCAGCTGCTTGTCATGGTCATCTTGATGTGACCAAAGAACTAATCAGTCAATGTGCTGACTTTAACAAGACCGATTATAATGGTTGGACTGCATTACATTTAGCTGCTCATGAAGGACATCTTGATGTTGTCACAGAATTAATCAGTCAAGGAGCTGATGTTGATAGGGCTAGTGTCAAAGGATGGTCAGCATTATACCTTGCCGCAGCTGCTGGTCACGTTCGTGTTTCAAGTGCTTTGCTTACTCAGCAAGCTGAGCTTGCCAAAGCAAATATAATTCATTGGATGGAGCTTCATTCCGCTGCAGAGAGAGACGATCTTGATGCCATGAAAGATCAAGTCAGTCAAGGAGCCGAGCTAGATAAAGCTGGTTCTTTTGGTTGGACAGCCTTACAACTTGCAGCAAGTAACGGACACCTTGATATGATCAAATATTTGCTAAGTCAAGGAGCTGATGTGAATTCTAGCAATGACTTTGGTAGGTGTGCCTTGCATAGTGCCTCAAAGAAAGGGAACTTGGATGTCGTGGAATATCTGATCAGTGAAGGGGCCGATATGAATAACAGACAGGACCTTGGATTGACTTCCCTTCATTTTGCATCACTTTTTGGCCATTTAGATATCGTCAAATCCCTAATCACACATGGAGTGGAGGAAGATATTGGCAACGCCATTGGAACCACTGCTCTCCATTATGCTTTATGTAATCGTCGGATCGACATTACCAAGTATCTGCTTAGCCATGGCTCTGAACTGAATAAGAGAAGCGTGTGGCCCTCCGTCATCTTACAATTTGATGGACAGTATGGTCACTATGATGTGCGAGGTGTGCATAGTCGTGTAGTTCAAGCAGTTAGCACACTAATTGACTCTCTCACTGTCTTTAGAGGTGCTCCAGAAAGTGATCTTGGTAGAAGCAAATATCAAGATGGCGATGAGGATAAGACAGTTCAAGGTGGAATGGTTATTGTGCATAGGCCATTTACAGTGTCTGATCTTGACAATCAAGATCTTCTTGCAAGTCAGGGAGACAGAACAATTGGTCGCACATCATTACAATATGCTGTAGAAGGCGGCTGCCATGCAGTTGTTCGGTATGTGGTCAGTAAAGGAGCTGAGGTGAACGAAAGCAACAATGTTGGCTGGACTGCTCTTCATGTTGCTGCGCAAATGGGTCATCTTGGTACTGTAGATTATTTACTTGGACAAGGAGCGGAAGTAGCTAAAGGAGACGTCGATGATATCTCGCCTTTGCATGTTGCTGCATTTGTTAGCCATTGTGACGTTATCGAGCATTTGCTTAGGCGAGGAGCAGAGGTCAACGGAGCCACCAAGGAGAAAGGTTCTACAGCCCTACATGTCGGCGTGCAGAATGGTCATCTTGATATCACGAAAGGCTTGCTCAACCACGGAGCCGAAATTGATGCGACAGACAATGACGGTTGGACTCCCTTGCACATTGCTGCTCAGAATGGTCACATCGATGTCATGAAGTGTCTCCTTCAGCAGCTTGCAGATGTTAGGCAGGTTACCAAGAAGGGATCATCTGCATTGCATTTGTCTGCTGCAAATGGACATACTGAAGTCACAAGATATCTATTGGAGCACGGAGCTGAAGTAAATCTGATTAAACCTGATCAGACTGCGCTGTCACTCGCTGCAGAACAAGACCAAGTGCATCGGACAAGTCCAGATACGTGGTGTGCTGAAGGGCAGAAACACCCTTCTTCCCCAAATGGCCGTGCAGATACTGAGGGTTTAACAGAAGATGAGAAGAAGGTATTTGATTTAGTATTCCTATAATTTCATGTGGAAAAAAAATTATCATACTGTTTATCAACATTCTTGCAAGTATCAAAATCATACCACTATTAATTGAAAAGGGTTAGCCAGTCTTTAGCCGTAATTATCCTGTTACAATTTTCTTGTGAAGGTATGTAGATTGACTGAATTATGAAAAAGGTTAAAATGATTCCCTAAGGATTTCCCAAAACCTATCTTGTACAATTACATATACATGTAAGTCAAACCTGTCTTAGTGGCCACTTCTCTATAAAAGCCACCTGTGTATCGTGGCCGTTAATTTTTCCTCCCTCGAGAAAGAAATGTGTGTTTGAGAACCTGTCTGGAAAGGCTACCTCTCTAAAGTGACCACTCTTTCTGTTTCCCATGGGTGTTCTTAACAAACATGTTTGACTGTATAATATTTGCTTAAATGTTAACATCTGAATATATATATAAGTCTATTTGGTGATTAAAGATATGGAAAACTAGAAAAGAAATTGCTTTATAAAAAGCTGTTTTGTTTGTAGATTCTTAATTCTTGAGGCTGTTGTTTTGCACAGGTTGTTTGGCAACATCCCGAGAGAGGCTGCACAGCAGTTCATTTAGCCACACAAAATGGCTACACCTCCATCATCGAGACATTAGTTTCTCATGGCGCCGATCTCAACAGCCAGTCCATAGACGGACAAACCTGTCTTCACGAAGCCATCAGTCTTTCAGGTCGGGAGGAGAGCAAAGTTGAAGCAACACCAGCTCTCCAAAAGGTAAGATGGTGAACTCCAGAACACACTGTCCCTGGGATTGTACGACACTTGTTCCTCCGACAATTGCCATGAAGTAATTTCCTACACTAACCGGATTGCTTACTTATAATTATGCAATTGGAATCATACCATTCACACATGAGTTAGCATAGCCATTTAACAATGAATAAGTCTCTATAGCAACATTACAAAAAAAGATGTCTTATTTCTGAAAAATGAAATAGGATTCATATAATTCTGAAACGTAAAGAGGGTTTGTAAGTCAGAAAATAAGATTGAGCTCATAATTGCAAAAATGACAAAAATTCGGAATCACTTTTTGGAATTACAAACCCTTTTGAATAACGAACCTTATTCCATTTTCGGATAAAAAAAAACTTTGGAGTAATGATACCTATCTAACTTTTAGAATTATAAACATAAACGAACCATCAGAAAAACACAACAAATGTTCGGAATTATGAATCTGGGGATAAATCCTCAGAAACACAAAGGCCTCTCAAAATTTAAACAATCGTTTCTATTGATAATTCTTTTAGATCTCAGAAGTCTTCTACCAGAAAGAATTGTCTCCCGGGAAGGCCCTGGTCTTCTATCTCTTGGACCACGGAGCAAAGCCGGACATCAAGGATAACCATGGCAACCTACCAGTCCACTATGCCAAGGATGAAGTCGTTCGCCAGATGATATTCTCAAGGTGAAGAAGCATTATTAACATGGGCATTTGGAACAAATATAGAAACGGTGTCATAGTCAAGTGTTCTAATCACTCGATTTGGAATGCCAAAGGTCGTGGGTTCTTTAGATCCTCTGCATGGCATGTATGTCCTTAAGCAAGGCATTTTGTAATATACAATGCTCCTCTTCACCCAGGTAGTAAAAGTGTACCCGCTAGGATATGAACGCCAATGTGATTTGATTAGCATGAGCACACCCATAACAAATTACGGCAATTGTCTTGATAAAGGTTATAAAGAGAGAACAGCAGTTCATACAGAATTTTGCTTCAAGTCAAATTGAATCTAAGATTAAAAAGAGGAAAAAGGGGGATCCATATTATTTATAAAGGCCTGCAAAATTGTCCAACTTACATTTTGGTTGCAATGAGTTTTTCCTTCGTTTTTTCGAAGTCGTAGGGAACGCCACCAAGAAGCGCTATAACTTTTTATGTTAGAAAAACAATGAACTTGGAATTGGGATATTACATTAACCATAATTTATGGACAGTTTTCCAGAATGTTGCAAGTAAGACGTCAGCATAATTGTAATTATGGTGTAATATGTATTTTGGTGTAATTCATTTGTTTGGAAAAAATTGTCCCGCATACCATTTTGGCTCTAAATTGTTATATAAATGGTATAGGAATGTACTTATCTTATTAGATCTCACACATGGTAAAATGCAGTGCTATTATAATCTCCAAAATATTTCAATATTATACATGGTAGCCATTTTTGTAATTGCCTGCCATTTTTTGTCCAGTAGTTTATATTCAAGGTAGTCCAAATATAAATTGTGCAGGGAGGTGCCCTGAACACGTTGATATCCAACCACCTTTTACTTACATTCCATGTCTCAAAACGCGTCGAAGTGGGGTCAATTTGTCAACATTGAAGTATGTGAAAAATTTATTTATGTTTCTTGAGATTATGGAATATTAAAGCTTACATCTAAAGTATTCAACACACTTGAGCTACGAAACAGACACCAAATACATGAAATTTACAAAGGGTATGAATAATCTAGTTGTCAACCGTGTGAGGTGTCTTTGTTTGTATGGACTTTTTGGGGTCTATGTTTGTTTGCAACAGAGTAACTACGGAGGCCGAGAAGAACAATTATGCCAACCTTCCAGAAAGTGCGCAAAGTGATAGAACAGACAGTGTTGAGCCAATAAACCAACCCTTAGGTGAGATACGTTTTATGCATCTAAGGCAGGTGAATTTTTTTTTTCTGCAAGAACACATAGGTATATTCATTTCCAATTTAAGAATTTGTTAATTAATTTCAATTACTTTGATATATCTGAGTTCACAAGCAAGAATATCCGACCCGGCGTCAGATCAACGGTAAAAAACATAAATATATAAACAAAACAATTTCTTCAATAGTAACCATCTATTGTCCTTATAAACATCAAATCGCTTATTAACTTTGTCTTTCATTTTATCCTCTTGACTTTGTTATTTTCGCAAATACATTAAAACAAATGAAGTGAGTCTGGGAAATGAAAATACATGTTTATTTGTGTATGCACTTTTTCTGTAGCAGAAGATCCTAGCCTGTGACTTCAGAGCTTGTAAAATATATATTTACTGTACAGTATGCTGTTAAAAGATATATTTGCTTTGCTGTTATCAGATAGTAGATATGCAACTGGAACGTTTGGGGCCCTTGGAGGAACCCTGTCCACCAAATCTCATGGGTTTACTCTCCACATTCCACCTGGTGCCCTTGAGGAAGATGAGAAAATCAGCCTTCGGGTACTGACGGAGATTCCAAATGGCCTCACACTTAAAGAGGACGAGCTTATAGTCAGTCATGGCTTCCAGTGTTACCCGTCCGGGCTACGCTTTAAGAAACCGGCAAAGCTGATAATACCTCACTGTGCATTAGTAACTGCTCCTAATAAAGTACAGACCATACTGTATTCCTGGAATCAGTCAGGTAACTAAATCATCTTTAAAGCCTTTCCGCAACATGTTCGGGCTGTACGTAAAGAGAAAATCACATAATAGTTTGTGAACTGGCATATAATAAACTGGATTTAACCCCACATTGACATATGTCTAGAATCCGAATCCTAATCAGGCCAAATTGATATGGAATAAGTTATAATATTTCTAGAATTCTAATAGTTTTTTCATGTTTTTATCGGTAATGGGGGAGGGGGCGGAGGGAGGCACTCACCTCTGCCAATCGAGGTCATCTATGGCATCATTGGCACTGCAGACTTTACATCATTTAACGTGTTTAATGTGGGGATGTATAACTCCCCATGCCCCACAGTTTGCGAACTATGGTTGTGCATGTAACTGTGTAGACATTGTCACAACTTTTAGTAACAAATATGACATAAGATCTGACATTACTATGATCAATGACATATGATCAATGCAGCTTCTAAATTTTCGGATGGCGATGTCGGCTACGTCAATGCTTTGAAAATATTTACCAAAAATGTCTACAATATCCATCTCAGCTACTCTTGAGCTCATTACACTGGCTTCATTTGAAACAAAAAATAATTTTGAAATTACTCTTGTTTGTCTACAAAATACTCAATAATCAAGCTTCACAATATTTAGATACCTGTTTGAATTTATATACACCTACCAGGGCATTGAGGTCAGCCGGTGATGCTCTCCGTTTCACATCTTCCGTTACTCGCACATTAGCCGGTGATGGGATATTTACTGTATCTGCTTCAAAATACCGGAATGATCTACCACTTAGAATTAGGCAGTCTTCATCAGTTATTATTGAGAAAGGCCTTGAAAAAACATATTTCGTGCAGTTTGTAGGTGTAAGATTTTTTTTAATTTATTATTACATGTATTTATGTAATTGTCATATACTGTAAGCGCTTTGGGCCTTATGGGAAAAGTGCGGTATAAGTAATGATAATAATAAAATCGTAATCCAGTCGCCAAAATACGATGCATAATTATGTTAAAGGTATAGTTGAGTTTTGGTATGGATGGCGCTAAACAAAATAATTCTTTGTGAGATAATGAAAAACTGAGTGTCAAATGTGTAAGAGCATACAATCTAAATGACAAAATCATCTTTGTTTGATCAAATCGGTTCAGAGACGGCTTAAATATCAATAAATATAACCATTTCTAATATTTGTGGGGTCCCACACATATTGGATGATTTTTAACCAGCCGTAGAAAAAACGAGATAGCGCCTTATGTTTTCTTCCAGCCAATGCCAATGTTGGCTTTTTGTTGGCTTTTTCGTGTTGGTTATAATACGCACAACCAGCCTGTCAGAGGATTGTTATTATTATTGTTGCTATTATTCAAAATTAACGGTAAAGGGCTAGATCGGATTTAATCTAAATTCGCACTTTTGGGGGTCTAACATTCCTTTCATAGCAATTTTAGTTCATAAAAGGGCACTAAAAATGTCATGGATAAGAATAAGAGCAATTACCATGCAGTTTGAAGCCATTTGCGGCTTTAAACAAGAACTCAACTGTCCCTTCAAGCCCAATGAGCTTGAAAAAAAGTCCTTGTATTTAAGTCGTTACCTGTCATTTTGTATTGAATTAATTTTTTTCTTCAAAGGTACACCTAAACGGCTTCCAGATTCCTCCGACGTTATTTGTTCAGTACAGGAACGATGGCTAGAGGTCTCAGTCAGCCATTTCTCTGGAGGATTCTTTGCCTTCATTTGGGATTGGCTATTTCTGAGAGGCATAGTACTATCATGCATGTCGTTTCTTCCCAGACTATTGCCTGTCTCCAAAAAACCGATACTGGAGGTTCGATTTGTCAATAAGCCACATGGACAAAAATGGGTAAACAGACATTAACACCATTTTTGGGAGGGAGTGTATTTAAGCCTGATCACTGCAGAAAGGCTTTCATTATCCTGGCGACGATGGTGAGGATGTGATGCATTCCCATTTCAAAGTTATGTCACGAATTAACAGTTTTCAAGCCTGTCATATTAACAAAAATGGAGCACATTTATCACTTTAACTATAAGTATTTGTATGTTAAAACGAAACGTTAAACTACTTCGGCATCTTTTGGTTCTTTATATAACGATGTTATTTTTTTTTTTTGTCGCTATTTTAGTCTTGGTCGTAATAATTCATCGAGCATGGTCTAGTGAACATCTTGATATCTGAATTGCATTTTAGACTTTACCTTGTAACTTTTCCACTTCCATAATATCAATCAACCGAATTTAATATCCCGATGCCAAAAATACAATTTTAGACTTATCTATGACATCTCTACTGTTAATAGAAGGCCCAAGCCCTGTACTGTTCTGGCTGTTTCTCTCAATCGATGCCATTTTGGACGTCATCTTAGTTTCCCGATTTCCCTGACAGATAAAGCCCATTTTCACTGATCTAAATGAATTGATTGAACCTTGCAATCACATCTTATTCCTTAGGACGATTCCAGCGAGTACTTTAGTAAAAAAAAATACACCTAAATCCGAGAGACGGTGTGTAATACAAGTTTACATACGATTTCTATCTACAATTTCCAGGTAACTTTATCAGAACACTTTTTGTACACATGATTTTTTCAGAACGATGTCCATAACATTAATGACTTCCGTTTCCAACCTGTGAAGGGCGATGACGATGATATTGAGTTTCTGCAGGGAACACTAAAAGTTGCTTGCCAGGTGGGTGAGAAGAGTCCCAAATCCGAGGAACAAGTAAGCGTATTTCGATTCTCGGAATTACTACACCTAGTTAAAATAAATTAAAACAAGGGCCTTGTGGAAACAAGAACTGTTCATGATAAAGGTAGAACAATCAATGCAGAGCCAACAGCAAAAAAGTTAAAACAAAGTGCCAAAGAACTCATCTGATGGTGTCATGGTGATACTGATGATAATGATAATAAATATTCATAGACCAATACGGTTCTAGGAATATATATATATAATTAGATTCGAAACGATGAAATTGATTGGACAAAATTCGAAAATACAGACAATTTTCTTCATTGTTTTAATCAGTACTCTCAACATCTGCGTTTTGGCTCATATTTCATACAATCATATATGCAAATTAATTATATAATCGGGCAATTTCCTCAGGCTATTCAGTTCAGCGACAAGAGGTCGCAAACGAAAGAGACAAAGTACTTTGAGCTCGATCTGACCAAGGAGAGTGAAGGGACATTAGTGACACTTGAAGTGGTTCAAACCTCTACACAGATGATTAAGTTCACCACACGTTTCGAAGGTAACATATTTCATGCAGCTGTAATATAATAGCTGTTCTAATCCCTGAGTATCAATATATCATAGCTTATAACAAAGGACCTATTGCGCCAAAATTACATCCTATTGGTAATTTTCACGGTACAACTTAACCTGTGGTGTATAAACGGAACACAGAAATGAAATGTTCTCTATATTGAAATAAGTAGTAGGTAAGGTTGAGCGACTTTACCCTCAAAACTTGATATCATGATGTACATTTAGGCCTATATTTATTGATTTTTATTTTGTATTATCATGACTAAGTTTTAACTTAGCATAATAAAGGCCACCACTACTTTTTATATTTCATTGGACCATACGGTAAAGACGAAATTAATATATATACAAAATTAAGACGGATCACCTGTAGATGAACTAATCTATGGCCGAAAACTGTTTGGACCAAACGGTTGTTGGAGTAATCGGGGTTCAGACCATTTCATTGCAGACAAACTGGCAAGTGGACCGAATTGTGATTGACCAAGTGGTTATTGGACCAATTCGTACAAATTACTGATTCGTGGAATTGCTAATTAGAACCAAACGATTAGAGATCATAGGCATAATGTGTCTTGAGCACTCCACAGAGTGGATTTGAAGCTCTATTAGTTACATTTATTATTATAATTTTATAATCGTTATTATTTTTATAGCTATTAGCCCTATATTGGCTCTTTAGATTAAATAATGATTGACGAAACGTTGATTTGATCATGTGTATAGTGGACAAACTGGGTGTAAGATAGGTGATGGTGGTATTGGACCGATTGGCTTTTGATCAAATGTTAATTATATCTTACGTCATACGTGTAAAAGCATTAGTTCACGTAGATAACCCATAATAAAAATTTATTAAATTTTGAAACGAAGGCGCAGGAAGCTCAGGGCCAGGTATATGTAGAAAATATGGGGAGGCTGTATTAATTGTATCTTTATACAATAATCGGTATTCTTAGACCTCTTTCTATCTCATATTTTACTTTTGGATTCTTCTCAATCTATTATTTCTTGCTTGCTCACTACAATTATACACAATGATACGCGCGGGCTTTACGCTAATGTCCAGCTTTTTTATGGTTACGTACCTACGGCGTATGCAATTGGCGTACATACGTGTACGCTTGCGTATGACAGGCGTAGGGTTTCGTATGCTTACGAAGGCCGGCGTAGGGTTGCGTACGCTTGGCGTAGTCGGTATGCAATACTATGCAACTCTACGCAATGCCCGGTGTGAAAGCCCCTAAAGCGAGTTAGAATCTCGCTACGGTGATTCTTAGAAATACCGATATTTCATTCTGATTTTGTCGCATTGTGATATGGTTGGTTTCATCATATTATTTTTATTTTTTGGATAGGGGAGGGGGTAAAAAGTATAAATCAATTAGTGTAGATGAAACACAATCACGTCATAAAATATCTCTCTCTCTTATATTGTTTTTATAATTGCAAGACTGTTTGAAATACATCGAATTTACATTATACAGTTGACGTAGCAGTAAGAAATCATAATCTAAATTTTAATTCCACCTGTCGAGAATTCTAAGAATCATGGTAGATCACATCCTTTTAGCTATCAGTCACTTCTTTTCCCTGTATATGTGCGCGTTCTCATTATAGCATAAAGGAACCCCACAGTCAGCAAAACAATCATTTTAATATTATTGTGTTCTCATGACAGGGATCGAAGAAAGCTTGACAAAACAGGACACTCCTTCACCATCCACTGTTGGAATGTGAGTAGAACCTCAAAATAAGTTTCTGTGCGTGTGTATGCATAGGGTTTTATACGAAAACATATATATTTATAAATGTATATACATATATAAATATATATATATACGAGTAGTCAGAAAACAAGTACAAGACTTGGCTTGGCAACATCCTAAAAAGTATTTTACCATTCTTAACTAAATTTCCTAGGTAATAGTGTATTCGGTGAGTTTCACAAGGATTTACACTAAAACTAAATTTTTTAGATGGGGGAGGGAGGGGGGAAGCTGAATATCATTTAACATGCGTTATGGTGGGTTCCCACTGCCGATCAAACCAACCCGACCAAGCCCAATCAAGCCCGATCACCCATTTCTCCCCGACCAATCCCGACCCCATGCCTAAACACAAGCTCTTCCCGACCGCTATTCGACCATTGACGACCCACATTAATTAGACCATTCACGACTCCTGCACGTGCACGACGTATAGTCGACAACAACTTCGATCTCTTCTCGATCATTCCGATCTACATACAATCCCAACGCGATCCCTACTAGACCAACTAGACGTACACACGATCTCTACACAATCTCGACCCGAGCAGATCGACCTGTTCGAACAGGTATCCAAGATGACTCGTGAATTGAGTGGTTGCACAAAATATTATGGTCAGCTGATGGTACAGTACTCATTTTTGATCAGCGTCAATGTGGGTCGTCAATGGTCGAATAGCGGTCGGGAAGAGCTTGTGTTTAGGCATGGGGTCGGGATTGGTCGGGGAGAAATGGGTGATCGGGCTTGATTGGGCTCGGTCGGGTTGGTTTGATCGGCAGTGGGAACTCACCATTACAAAGACAGTGCAGTGAATTGAACCAAAATTCTACATCTTCCAAAAGTACTCAGAACTTGGTGGATTAAGCTTGGAGCATTGAGAAATTTAGAAGGGGATTGGAAATACGACTAAAACATTGCTAACAACTTTAATTGAGAACGGTTTAGTATCCTTTCTTTCAATTCACAAATTTTGTAATGTAAATATGCAGAACAGCTTTTAATCCCAGGTGTAGATTTATATTGAGCCAATATAAAATCTGTGCGCTTGGTTTAAGAACTTCCAAAACTACATATATTTGAAGCTTTTTCCAAAGAAGAGAAAATGTCAAAAATATTTATGATTATATTACATGATAATATTTCATGATTTAAAATAATAATAACCGTCTATGGATGTTATAAGTTTTTTGTTAATGCCCCTATATTTCCTTGGAAAAAAAAGCATTTTGTTGCGTTGCTGTTGATAGTTCTTATCTAAAATTGTAAGTGTTTGTTTTGGCTACAAAACGCAGAAACCTAATATACATCTGCATAATAAAAACACCGCCGCAATATTGCCCGCAAGAGAACAATGTTGGTCAAGTCTTCGAATAGGGGTAATACATCATGATCTTCCTCTGAAAGCCATCCAATATTATTGGCCGTAATGATATTTCATTCTCCCGAATCGTAAAAAAGGAGAGTATGACAAAATACACACCAGGGCCCCGTCTTACAAAGAGTTGATATCAATCGCAATATATTTGCGATTTATATCAATTGCAAATAATTATGTACATAAGAGATAGGAGACTGCAAACTTGCGATTGATTGAAGGACTTGCGATTGATCTGAATCAATCGTAACTCTTTGTAATACGGGGCCCTGGGATAGACGGGGCCCTATGCCTCGTTTTATAAAGAGCTCCTTTTGATCCAAGCCAATCGTAAGTCTTCCTATCAATCGCAAGTTTGCATTGCTCTATCTGTTATGCTCATAGCTGCGATTGGTACCAATATCAAATAACTTTAGATTAACTTCAACTCTTTACTACTCGTGGCTTTATAAATGACAGCCTTCACACCCACACATATATCCACGCGCGCACACGTATCTTTATATAAGTATATATACATTAATATATATACATACGTGTGTGAGTCCGCATGTATGTAAGCAATTTATGCATAATATGCATATATGTACTTCCGATATCCGATAACATCTAGTGCAAACTCCCTCACAACTTTGTTTTTAATTGCCACGTTTGCCATGCATTACGGTACATTAGTTTGTTCAAGTTATCGTTTTGTAACCGACTCTTCAGCTCGAATTTATCTTGTTTTTTGGGATGTACATGCAAATGTGGAACAATAAACTTCAAACCATTGAAATCGGTCAACTGAGATTATTAGATAAACAGTACATATTTATATTTCCTCCATGTAAATATAGACCTAGTGAAGAATCCAGTGAGCAGGATTTTGACGACCTTCTCAAGACAATTGCCAATCGGATTCATAAGGTTGGTGACATCGACAATCTAGGCAGGGAATTGGGTTTTCAACCTCCGGAAATCCAACGATACTTACGAATAAACGAAAAAGACCACGATGTTACATGCAGGGGAACACTTAGTATGCTTCGGGATTGGAGGGACAGGACTACAAGCTCCGAAGAACGTGAACAATTGAAGAAAGCCCTGATTGCGATTAGACACCAACGTCTGGTAGACGACCTCCTGAAAGACGATATGGCAAGTTAGTATGAACTAGGAAAATAGACAAATTAAATAGTTAAGATGTGGATTATGTAAGCTTTAATTTTGTACCATGCATACTAATTACCTCTCTTTTTTTCTTATTTAATGGTAGAAGTGGCCTTCAAAATGGAAAATTGGCCCATGTAATATTATTTTTTTCAAATTGGCTAGTTTTTATGCGAGTCCCATTTTTCCCCCTATTTTTTCCCCTTTTTTAAAATAATTTTTATAGTAATGTAATCAAAGTTAATGTACAAATCTTTGCTAAATACAAATTTATTCATTCACCAAATTGTATTTAAATAGTCAGAATACGAATTGCACACATTCTGTTTTGTTAGATAGGACAAGCCATAATGTTTGTGTTACCTAGCACCAATTAGTGAATGCATTTCGCAAATTTGTTATTAAATTAAACATCATTGTCTTTAAAACTAACGAATAATCTTGGAATACCTTCAAAATTTTATGTGTACTTTAAATATGTGCCTACCTTGAAAGGGACTAATGCCATCTTCTAATCATCATTCTCTGAGCCTGTGTGCAACGTCGTCTTCCGCCATTGCATTCCGCATAAGGAACTTTATATGAAGAGAATAACTAAAATGTTGCGTCGATCCCTGGGGGTTCAGTCACGTGCTTGTCATTATTCAATTGCATATTTACCCCAAATGACACCGTTACTGGGCAAAATAACCCCGCCAAATGATGTCGTTTTCGGCAAAATATGATATGTCCCACGACCACAAACACGGTGAAACAATTATTTGGACCATGCAAAGAATGTCATTAAAATTGAACCTCCATTTTTGTAGATGTAGTATGCAATGGCTCACTAGTAGAGCAATGGTCTCGTTAACAGGAGGTCCAAGATTCGAAACCAAGTCGACGCGCTCGCACATTTTGATAAGACATTAATTCACATTGGCATTGCCTAGTCCCTTCAGAGATGACTTAGAACAGTCGGTCCCCTGGATTCTTACTTGCACATGCATTCTAAGCAGCCAACAAACCAATCAAACATGTTGTTAGCGATACAAATTAGTGTTACTGGATGGATCATAATCTTCATTACATCCACATTAGTCTTGAAATTATAATGGAAATATATTTTTCATATGATCTCACGTCTAACTGTAGAGGTTACATGTCTGTACATAAGATCTACACACTTAAGGTGTGTATCCAGTGTATATGTCTTAGATATCATGGGTTTCTACTTGAATGTGCATAAGTCTGGAGATTATAATAGCGAATGTTAATTTGCCATATGATATGTTTTGCACTGCTGATATATGATGTATCTGCATAGGTTTGCACATGTAATGCGAAATGAACACCATAGTGTATAGATTTCATATAATAACACTTCTCAGTTTTGAGTTCACTTTATTCCGTGCATAGGTTTTGCACATGTTGAATGTCCAGTATGTTTACATCTTGTATGATATCGTATCTCGATGTTGAGTTCAGATTTTCGAGTATAAGTCTGCATATGCTGAATGTCCCATGGATATAGATATCGTATAATATGATATCTCAGTCTTGAGTTTATTAATTTTGTATGCATAAGTCTTGACATAATGCCAAATATCTTTTTGATAATACATTTACCTTTGACTTTAGATTGTTGTTCATAAATCTGCACGTATTGTTGACTGGTATTAATATGATATCATAACTCGCTGTTTTTATTAGATTAGTGTGCATAAGTCTGCACATTTGATTGCTGAAAGTCCAGTGTATATAGATTTCATAATCGTGTATTTACTGTTATGATTTGATTTGTGTGTATAAGGCTGAATTTGTACTGGTGCTTGTCGAATGTGCCTCTTTGCTTAGATTACATTTGTTTTGTCTGCACATTTTTATGATGAAAAGATTATGTATAACTAGTACTATATTTCATGATAAATGCATTATGTATTACTTATACCATATTTACTTGTCTAGGAATGGTGTGCAAAAGTCTGCATACGGTGTTCAATGTTCAATGTTCAATGTACATGTACTTCATATGGTAGTATATCTCTCTCTCTCTGTTGAGTTTAAATATGTAAGTGCATTAGTCTAGACATTATAATGGTGAATGCCCAATGCATATATATATATCATATGATATCATTTTGAGATTGGATTTTCGTGCATAAGTCTGGACATTATAATGGTGAATGTCAAATGCCTATAACTGTCATGTAATATCATACTGAGATTTTGTTTTTGTGCATAAGTTTGCACATTATAATGGAGTAAAGTCCATTATATATATATATATATATATATAACATGTGAATCATACTGAGATTGGATTTTGTGTGCATAAGTCTGTATTTTAATAATGGTGAATGGCAAAGGTACATACAATTTGTATTTAATCATATCACGATGTTGATTTAAGATTTAAGATCATAATTGTGAATATCAAATACATCTATATTACATGTAATAGATTCTGAGCTTGACATTTTGTACATAAGTCAGGGCATTATAATGGTGAATGTCCATTGCATATATTTTTCTTATGAATTACTGAGATTGGAGTTTTGTGCATAAGTCTGTACATCATAACGGTTAATATCCAATGCATATCTATTTTAGGTAGTATCATGCTGAGATTGGATTTGTATACACAGGTCTGCCCAACATAATGGCGAATTTCCATTTGCATATATATTTCATGTAATAAGCCAGTTTCGTAATGTAACCAAATTTAATGCATACGTCTTTGTGAAGTGCCTCAATACAAATTATTTCATTCACCTGATAAGAATAATAGTATTTCAATAGTCAGAATGCAACTGCATATATTAAGTTGTTGCCAGGTTGGACAAACATTATGGCTTGACCTACCTAGCAACACTTAATATATGCAGTTGCATTCTGACTATTGAAATACTATTATTCTTATCAGGTGAATGAAATAATTTGTATTGAGGCACTTCACAAAGACGTATGCATTAAATTTGGTTACATTACGAAACTGGCTTATTTCACATGATGCCATACTGAGAGCAATGTTTTGTACACAAGTCTGCATTATTTTAATGTTTAATGTCCATTTGCATATATATTTAATTGAATTGATTGATTGAATTTCTTTATTGTCATGCACAAAATAAAAAATTAAGGCATAAAAATCGTCTTACGGCTCACATTTGTATAAAATATAACAACACATTAACATATCATAGACAATAACTACAAATAACATAACAATGTAATACAATTTAATCTCTCTGTTGAGGGCCAGGGGAATTATTTGATTATCTGTACTCCCCTGGCTCCCAACAGTAAGATTGAATCTTTGTGCATGATTCAAACATTATTATAATGATGAATGGCCATTCTATATACATTTTAAATGATATACTGACATTTGATTTTTTTTTGCATAATTCTGCATATTATAATGTTTAATATCCAATGAATATATATTTCATGTAATTTCATACCGAGTTTGGATTTGTGTGCATAGGTCTGCACCTTTCAATGGTGAATGTCCATTGCAAGTATATTCTATGTAATTTCATACCAAGTTTGGATTTGTGTGCATAGGGCTGCACATTATAATGGTGAATATCCATTGCATATATATTTAATATAATATGAAACTGAGATTGGATATTAAATTTGTGTATAAGTCTACCTATTACAATGGTGAATGTCAATTGCATATACAATTTCATGTAATTTCAAACTAAGATTGGATATTTGTGCATAAGTCTGCACATCAAAGCATTCATTGCATATATATTTTACATTATACCGAGACTGGATTTTTATTGCATATCTCTTCACATTTCAATGGTTAATGTCAATTGCATATTATATTCAATATGATATCATATTAACGGAGGATTGTTGTGCATATGTCTGCATTAATATCATGGTGAATGGCCAGGGTTTATAAATTTCGTATGAAATCATATTACGATGTTGAATTAAGATTTGTTCGTACATAAGTCTGCACATCACAATGTTGAATGTCAACGGCCTATATATTATATGTAATAAAATACCAAGATTGAATTTCTGTGCATAAGTCTCCACATTATAATAGTGAATGTCCATTGCCTATGTATTTCGTAAGATATACTGAGATTTGATTTTTGTGCGTAAGTCTATAGATGTATAATGGTTAAGGTTCACCGCATATACATTTTACATGATGTCAAACTGATATTGGATTTGTGTGCATAAGAGTACACATTGTAATAGATTAAATCAAATGCGTATATATTTCATGTAATATCATACTAAGATTGGATTTTTGTTAATGCATAATTCTGCATATTTCAATAGTTAATGTCAATTACATAATTGTTTCATGTAATTTCAAACTAAGATTGGATATTTGTGCATAAGTCTGCACATCATAATGGTGAATATCCACTGCATATATATTAAATGTAATTACCTACTAACATTGGATTTGTTATGCATAATTCTGCACATTTCAGTGTATTAAGTTCAATTAATTAATTGTTTCATGTCACTTCAAACTAAGATTGGATATTTGTGCATAAGTCTGCACATCAAAGCATTCATTGCATATATATTTTATATTATACCGCGATTGCAGTTTTGTGCATAAATCTGCACATTATAATGGTGAATGTCCATTGCATACATATTGCATTTGATATACTGAGATTGGATTTGTATGAATAAGTCTGCATTAATCCATGGTGAATGGCCAGGGTTTATAAATTCCGTATGAAATCATATTACGAAGTTGAATTAAGATTTGTTCGTGCGTAAGTCTGCACATCACAATGTTGAATGTCAACGGCCTATATATTACATGTAATAACATACCAAGATTGAATTTCTGTGCATAAGTCTCCACATTATAATAGTGAATGTCCATTGCTGTATTTCGTATGATATACTAAGATTTGATTTTTGTGCATAAGTCTATAGATGTATAATGGTTAAGGTTCATCGCATATATATTTTACATGATGTCAAACTGAGATTGGATTTGTGTGCAGAAGAGTACA